ATATATATATATTGCATACTCCAACAGCAAGATCTCCCTGCCATAATTACCAACTATTCCTATCCTTCTGGGTGTTTTGAGTGTTCTCTCCCATGTTTGTGCTCCAACTACAGAATTTCTGCTGTGTTCTCAATAATTCATCAGAACAGGTGGTTTAACGCTCTAATATCTACCAGAAGCTGAATTACCATCTATTAGTGTAATGTCCGCTTAAATGACTGCCAATTTGATTTGAATCAATGCCATGAAAACAGAGATGAACACAGAGACAAACATTACAGGATAATTCAGTTTTCAGAGATAATTAATTATGAATATTCTCCATCCTTATACAAAACATTTGAGATGACAGGTACATAACAGTTAATGGTACTGAAGATATAGACTTTTCATGGGCCAGGAAGTCCTATTTGCTGTTTTGTACACCTAGATGCATGTATAACAGGTACTTAGCTCTACATACCTTTAACACTTGTGCCCTTGGCCGGGTAGGATATGAGAAGGTGATGTTTCGGAACTCCACTTTACCTTCCAAATGCTCAGGGGCCAGGGTGCCGTTATTGACCATCTTTGGTTTGCGGTCTATGAATTCAAACACCTTTTCTGCAGCACCAACACCTTGCATTAGCCCTCCATATACTGATCCAATGGACTAAAATCCAAATATACAAAAAACACAAAAATTTTGTATCAGTCTGTGAAAAAGTACTGATTTGTAATCCAGTAGTCCGGCCAATATTGCAAAATTAATGCCCAACTCGGCCAAAACAATTTTTAGTGTTGAACAGAGTGGTGAAACGTTGCACCCTATTTCAACTTTTTACTGTTGTTGGGTTCTTGTTTAGGAGATTCCTCCTCACTTGTCTATTTAATAGGTATCACACAGAACGGGATTTGAGGGAAAAGATTTTAACGGGGATACGGGAAAAAGCAAAAACTCATTTTCTAGAGAGATTTCTTTTTATTTACTGTCCAGGTGACAGATAGGAAGTGCGGGAAAATCCCCTTAGTGGAGATACAAACAATTTTTAAACATGGCAGGTGTTCTGCATCCAGGGCCACTCATCTGTCTCTAAAGGTGCCCATACACCTTACGACCATCGCAAGACTTTTGTCTTGCGATGGTCGTAAGCTTATTGAAAGCTTGTACGATCTGCCTACCTTGGACGGGCAGATCGTACTTGCGATCATCGAAAGCCCGCCCCGCTGAGGGGCGGGCTTCCAATGACCGCAATGCAGAACGGGCAGTGTGCGCGTGCGCACACCGGCCCGTTCCACAGCTATCGAACGAGCAGGCTAGAGACCCGCCGACAATCATACGATTCTCAGCGGGTTTTCGAGCATGCTGGTTAGACAAAAGACGTGCGACCGTACAGTAGAAACGGTCGCACGCCTTCCACACACTGCACGATTCTCGTACGATCGCGGGATTTCCCGCGATTCTCGTACGAGAATCGTGCAGTGTATGGGCACCTTAAGGCATGCAACTGCCCAGAAGTATGGTTACATGTGAAGAGTCATGTCATCGCACCTGTCGGCCTGCCATTGATTTGTGCAGCTGATCGCAAGCATCTGTGCAACTTCGTCACAGAATTACGCTGACTGGCAGCTTGCAGCCCAAATCAAAATGAGGCAGCAGTGTAAAAAGTTGGTAAAACAAGCATCCCACTTTACTGGGCATAACTGAACAAGCACATTAGTTAGAAAACCTGCCATGATCGCAATAATGAAAATTATAATTGCCTAGCTTTTTCAGAAGTGGAGATATGGAGGGTGGTGACTCACTACGAGGGTGAGTCAAAAATTATCTGCGCTCCGGTTATATAAAAGCTTTCGTTGGCTTATCAGCACAGTGCAGGTGTGAACACGTTACATCAGTTCATTTGTAACTGTGCTGCGAAAAAAAATGGATGCCTCATTTTTGATTTGCATGAAATAAGAGCAGCGTGCATTGATTTGTTTTTGGTGGTCTGAGGGTGTGCCTGGTGCCGTTATTTATCGAAGACTTTGTGCACAGTATGGAGAAAGTGTTTTGTCGTGAAGAAGTGTGTATGAATGGATAAAGAAGTTCATGGAAGGTCGCACAAGTGTTAGCCATCGAGAAGGAACCAGACGCCCGTCCATATCCATGGCTGAAGACAACATTGAGCGTACACATGAAATGTGTTAAAGCATCCTCCCTATAGTCCTGATTTTGCTCCATCAGACTTTCACCAGTTTGGTCCCCTGAAAGCAGCCCTACAAGGACGTAGATTCACCTCTGATGAAGAAGTGAAGACAGTGGCGCATTCATTGCTCGTAGCTCAGCCTAAAACATATTTTAATGAGGGAATACAAAAGCTTGTTGACAGATGGACAAAGTGTATTGAAAAGCAAGGAGATTATGTCGAAAAATGATGTATTTGTTTTTTCTAAATAAATTCTACAGCCAGAGTGCGGATAGTTTTTGACTCTCGTATTAGGAAGATCGTATTAGAATTACTGCAAACATATCGATTATGTTACAACTGATGAACTATTCTTACCTCCATGCAGTCACCTAGAAGAAATTCATAGATGACAAAGGAAATCAAATTACCACTGGTCATTTGCCCTGATATTACGAGGTGTCCACCATAGTAAAGTATGCTAATTTGTAGTGCCACTTCTGTAAACTAAGAAAGAAAGACATAGTTTCAGATTAAAACAATAATATATCCTTATGTGGAACCACAGTGTTATAACAACTGTGTAGTAGATCATGCCAAATAAAGTACAAGTATGTGAACTTACAGTATGCAAAGAGGAAATACTCTATAGGTATGCAAGGTACATATAATCCTTTATGCACCTTTATTCAGTCAAGCTGCTAAATCGAAACTTTGCTTTTACTGTTAGATAGATTTAGGATGTATGACAGCCCTCATCCAGTTTTCATTACTCCTGCTGGGGAGATGTATCCTCTTTTTGTGTGTGCTGGTGATCCTTATCAGCAGGACAGAAAGGGATTTCCAGCCCACAATTTTACAGCTGTCATGTGCACAAGAGGTGAGGAGAAATCTGTTACAGCTTTGTAAGAGGAAAACAACTGACAGCGGTTTTAACCATTATCTACTCTATCTGGAAAAAAAGTTTGCCTTTAGATACACATGAACTCTGGGAAAAAAATGACATTTCCTTGCAGTGGGGCTGCCCCTGCACTGCAAAGGTTAAATGTTTGTTAGGTCTAGGGTACCTGGGGAAAAGACTTTTACTTACCTGATCCCCGTTCCCAAAGGCTCTATTTAGGGTGCAAGATCAGCACCTGCAGCCTATTCCCACCCACAGCCCAAAGCTCTGCATTATACCTGAGGATGCCAAGAGACAATCCACAAGACAAAGTGTAGGGAAGCCGAGATGAGCACCAACTGCACAGGGAGCAGAAATGAGGTAAGTAAAACTGCTTTTCCTGATACCTTAGACTAGACCATATCCGGCCCTTTGTCTTTCTCTGCCCGGCCCGCAGTCTGGACATGGAACGATCGCTGACCTGCGCTCAGTTATTCCTGGCTGACAGTGTCCAGCCTCCAGGGCCGTTGCATCCACTGCAAGCCATAGCCCAGTGCAGATAGGTGATTTATTCGTGTCTGGACTTCGTTCCTCTTCAGTCGTTGGTTGCTAGGACCACTGGGCTGTCCAAGCAACCAGCATCGTCAGGGGTCCTCCTCCTCTGCAGTCATTGGTTGCTAGGACTGCTGGGTGATCCTAATAACCAGTGACAAATGTCTTCCTGCCCCTGGCATTACAGGAGGACTTCCATTATTCTGGGGTGTCCTTCCTCTCCTGCAGTTCCTGGTGGTGTCCGTCTTCTGCTGCAGGCTCCGCCTCCCTGCTCCTGGCTGTGGTCCATCAAGAAAAAAAACCAAGCAGATATGTGTCACGTACTAGGTGAGGACAATATGGCTTCACTCAGGCCCAGTTCACACCTATGCCGTGCAATAAACACGGTATAACACAAGGAACCTACCAGTATGGCAGGTGCATTGTGTTGCATGCACTACTTTTTTCAAACGCAACACACTGTATTGAGGCAAGGAGGTCCATTTGGGGTGCCACTCAAATGAATGGAATTGTAACACACCAGCCGCACTGTAATGCACGGTAGGTTTAGCCCTCCACAACAGTCCCAGTTTCTCACGTGGCCCCTTGAGAAAATTATTTGCCCACCCCTGCCCTAGACCTAAATGGCTATTAAACCTTTGCAGGGCTGGGGCAGCCCCACTACAAAGGAGGGGGTTCCCTGTTAATAGGCTTTAATGTCTTTGATCTAGAAAACACTCTCTGCAAGGTACAAAAAAGTGCAAATGTGAAAATATGTTGCAAACATGAGTTAAATGTGAATTACTTTTAAAATAATACATTTTTTTTACGAGCAACATTTGCCCAATAAGTGTTTCAAACAAAGCAAATCTATATTCTAGTATACAAAGCCAGTACAGGTAACAGAAGAGTTCCACTTACTCCAGTAGACCATATATAGTAAGTATAGGCAAACGCTTCTTTTTTGTACAGGGAGTAGAGTCGCTGTAGCTTATCACTATACACATTGGCCTCCGTCTCCTCATTAGCAAAACTCCGGACAGTTTTCATTGCAGAAATAGTTTCCTCTGCAGTGCTGTTGGCCTTTGCTAATGCAGTCTGCACCTCTTTGGCAAGTTTCTATGAGAAGGACAACAGTAGAAAAATAAACTGGCTGCGTCTGGGATATTTCACAATCTGGAACAGAAGTCATTCCAGAAAGATGTATATTAACATTTGCCAAATACTGTGGGCCATCTACACCTCAGCCAGAATGTGATCTAGGGGCCCCTACACCACAAAGAGAATAACACTGGAAACATCACTCTACAATGTAAATACACCACCGTAAAGGACAGTTCTAGTGTCTGGAGAAAGAATTACATTTTAGAGCATTGACAGGGTTATTTACTAAAGGGTGAAGAGTTGAGAGAAGCCAGGAGAAGTGAACAATCTAGGCCAGGGGTGCCCATTCGGTTGATCGTGATCTACCAGTAGCTCACAAAGCTGATGCTGGTAGATCATGAAGGGTGTGAATGGTGGCCCCTTTATTCCATTTTGGTATATTTATTTAGCTGTGCACACATGATTACCTATTAGCCTGAGTCTGCTGAGCCAAGCTTCCTGACACATTTCTGGTGGATACTGGTGGTTGAAGTGCTATGTATTACATCAAAGAATATTACTTTAAACAGCATAGTGCACTACACTGTTTGCAAGATACAGCAATGTGAGCCAGGAGAGAGGGAAGGGAGAGACAGACAGGAGAGAGAGGAAAGACAGCCAGGGGAGACAGACAGGAGAGAGAGAGAGTGAGGAAAGACAGGAAAGAGAGGAGAGGCAGCCAGGAGAGAGTGAGGAAAGACAGGAAAGAGAGGAGAGGCAGCCAGGAGAGAGAGAGATAAC